TCCCAGTCCTCATGACTGCGGCTCCGAGCTACCCCTCCCCTCCCCGTTCCCCTGAGCCCTCCATCCCCAAGGGGACAGTGCCCAGAGTCGAACCTCCCTGGAGGTTGACCAACAGCGGGACCAGGCGGCAGACGTTCCCACACCAGCTGGACGCACAGTGCGCCAGACTTGCGTGCGTGTTGGAGGGGGTGCAGACGGGTGAAGGTCGGTGCCAATGAACAGGGCGAGGCACAGTGCGTGTGAAGCCATTTAACAGCGGCAAAGGGTGTCGACTGACGAGTGTATCGCAGAAAATCGATCATCGAGCGGTGAAAAAGAATGAGGCGATAGCCCCATTGTTGACAATGCTTCCTTTTTGGGTGATATTTTTACGATTAAAAATGTATAGGTGATGTGTCATATTCGTGTAAAATATTCATTCATCATAGCTTATTAATATTTATTCAAATTTGTCGTGCATGTAACTAGGTATCACATTCATTTGTACGATACGTAAATGTCAAAGCTCTTTGATATACCTACCTGTACCGTAGTTATGCATACAATTAGCAAAAGATAAAGACATGTCAGTTTGTGTCATGTATAAATGTTAACAATACACGGATCTATGTATGTTTGAAGGCACTGCTGGTGCAGCTGCTATCCGTTTAGGGCTTGACATCACGACATCACTTATATTATCCATAAGAAGCTTTCCGTCGATGAAGAACATGAATACTTCAGCACGCCAATACCACCGAACGAAACTGGAACACCTGCATGTTTGAACGTCAACGATTTAAATCCATATTTTCTTATCGACAAAACAGCACGCGACCTAATGCCATTCTCCCGATCTGGTTATTTGGAGGCGAAATTCGCCACAGCCACCACACACATTTTTCAGATTGGCATAATTATCTTATTCCTACACGCATTCGATGAAATCAATGTCACGGTGAAAGACCTCCACAATTATAAGCAGAATCCAGCTAGAGCTTGACGAGAGCTCCGGTCCATTCAGTAGGCCGAGTTTCTGAGGGTGAGGGTGCTTCAGCAAGAGGTTCCACTTGAGCACGCGCCCCGCAGCGTAACGATTTCAACGAAGTCCGGTCGGTGTGAGGTTGACGACGGAGATCGAGAAAGGCCGAGGGAGGGAGAGGGAGAGAGAGAGAGAGAGAGAGGAGAAAGAGGAAGGAAACGAGAAAAAGAGAAAAGGAGATACAGACAGGAAGTAAGTAAAGATAAAATCATAGGGAAGGAGAGGATTAAGAGTGTGGGGAATTAGACCAGGAATATAGAGGGAAACGGATAGAGCACGAGAGAGGCAGAGAGAGAGAGAGAGAGAGAGAGAGAGAGAGAGAGAGAGAGAGAGAGAGAGAGAGAGAGAGAGAGAGAGAGAGAGAGAGAGAGAGAGAGAGAGAGAGAGAGAGAGAGAGAGAGAGAGAGAGAGAGAGAGAACGGAGAAAGAGAGAGGTTAGATAAAGAAATAAATGACTTATTGTAAAATTTATCATCAAACAATAACACACCGAGGCTCCCGCGGAGCTCTGGCCACTGGACCGTCTCCACTCATATCGCTACCCGGCCCCGCTCTGTGCCGTCCCCACCGGGAGCCGGGTGCCATCGTTTATCGCCCGGGGCTATTGGGGCGGCGCGACTGACCGATCTCGGCCTGTATACGCCGCGGTGACCGGGTAATCGCCCAGAGACAGCCAGACGCCAGCTGGGCACAACAGCCGGGACAAATATCGCAGACTTCTGCGTGGGGACAGGGCAGGATGCGCCAGCATGTCAACCGCTTCATTGGAATGTCTTACTTTTGAATCTAAAAAAATTGCATGACATATGTATAGTTCTGGAAGTTAGTTCCCATTGGGCTGATTCTCAATAAGATGCACTGCGCATAGGGGGAAATAAATAGATGCAGATTTAGATCATGTTGTGCGAATCAAGAGGCGGGTGTCGATTGGAACAATGTATGTTTCCTATTGTCATTTGATATGCCTGCATCTCCTGGCCCAATGCTCTCTAATAAACGCGTTTAATCGATTTTCGAAATTAGGAAGGCCCGGTCGATGCCCGCCAGCCGGCCGATCACGTGACCACCCGAGGGATCGGGTCAGCGGCCGGAGTGGACACAGGAGGGCGTGTTCATCTTATATAAAACGCCCGGGCAGGGTAACAGTAGCGTTTCGCGCAACAAAACTGAGCAGTGGCAGGTCAGAAAGACTGGTATCGTGGAGCAAACGCTTTGTTATAGAAATATTTATGACCTATTTAACAAAGAACGTTTCGCATATGGCGTGACTAAAACACCGTGCTGAATGCGTGAGCAGTAAAACAAATGAATAGCCCTTCACTCCGGTAAGCACGAGTCCACTAACGTCTCATAAAGACTGGACTGCGTGACGCTGGACGAGCGATAGCACTGGACGGTTTAGTGCGCTACTGTAACCTAGTTATATGTTATGTAACTTTTATTACAACATTTAAATAAAAGGACAGGACACGTGGTCGGCAGTCGGCACCAAACACCAAGTTCGGGCACTGAAGGGGCGTGTTGGTCGTCGTCCTTGCACTCGCCTCCTCGGTCGCGTAATGAGGAGTTAATGATGATGAGCGGTAAATAGTTCATTCACCGTTCAAAGGCTAGTAAAATAATCATGGTTTTATTCATAAAGAATATTCATTTTATGTTATTGTGAATAAAATGAAGGATGGTACTGCATTGAAAAACCTGATGATGGTCTTCCGTCCGTCTATGTAATCGTCCGGACGATTTCGGGAAAAGACCCCTTTGAATTACAGGCTAGCTATAGCTAGCTATAGCTATAGCTACATGATGACTGCGATATATCCGCATCGTGTCACTCTGCGTGACAGACGGTATACTGCCTTGTTCATAGATGTTTAGATATCATATTGCCAGACAAAACGCAGAGGACCCTTCAGCGCCCCTTGTGCAAAAAAAACGAAATAAATGAAGCGTAAGCATGGAGTGGGTCAGAACTTTCTGAAAAGGTTACATCTTGTTCGGCAATTTTAAGCCTGTACGGGAAATGTCATGTCTCATCGGTCAGGCACTCGGCCTGATTCGAGAACGAGCCGGGGGTTGAGAGCATCCGCCTAAAGATCAGATTCAAGAAGCTAGCTGACTGGCATTTTCAATGAGAAAAAAGGAACAGAATATAATGTCTGATACCATGACATTATAGGAAAGCTGACACCAAGCAGATTTGAGGCCGATGAAATCATTTAAACAGTATAGGTCATCCCACTCAGCAATCCGTTAGCCAGACTCCGACAGGTCGGTCGCGATGGGACACACCCATATGGCGGCCGTGTCGCGCTGACTCACGACGCAATGTCAGCAATGTATGACAGGTCGACACGGCTTTGTTTCACGCCGTGTGTGGCGTGCTCCAGTATTCACAATTCCTCGAATACCGGCCGGCGGCGGCGGCGACGGCGTTTCGCCGCGGCCGAGTCTGACCGTTCCGAGAACCATTCGACACCCACGGTTCACTGGGGTGGTTGCCGAGTAGGGACTAGGGGACAGAAGTGGTTACTATAGCGCCAATTGACTGGACGACGAATTTGGTTAGTTTCTGGCAAGGCCTTAGCAGTACGGGACTGAGAGTGGTTTATGTTATGGGAACTGGGGTAGTTAGTCAGGTGACTAGCTACCCCAGGTATATTGATCAGTTAGTTATATGACTACTGACTAGTCGATTGCCGTCAAGAGGACTGGGGTGGTTGCTGTTAGGATACTGGGGCAACCGATCAGGGGACTGGCACGGGCTAGCCAGGGACAAGTGGTTACAGTCGAGGGAGCCGTGCGAACGACTGCCGACAGCCAGGTCCCTCGACCATTCCCTACCTTGTCAACCTGCGCCAGCAGCTCTGTTAGTCGTGTGGATCCATAGCGGAACTCCCGGAACGTCAATGCAAATATGATATAAGGAATACCGGCTACAAAGACCCGCAAATGAGACCTTTGTCAGCGTTTCCAAACGATTGGTATTGCAGACATTTTCGACAGGTAAAGCGTGACCTAGCACACTTTTCGGGGTCCATTCAGAATGTCAGTATTCTGAGGCGTCAACAGTTCGAAAATCAAAATGCCTTATATGAAGAACGGAAATTGACCTATCCATAACTTACGCCAACCGTCACCCAACCTCTGCCGAACAGCTGGGTACAGGGTCTGTGGTCACATTTCCCGCACCCCCTCCCTCGAGCCTTCTTCAAAAGATGCTAACAGCTGCACTAGGAGACAGTCAAGGCCGGTTGCCCAAGTGTAAATCCGTGATAGTGATGAAGCGAGCGACTACGCCAGACGTGGACCCCTCGGTTTTGTATGTGCCCATGCGATGCACCGCTGTTGCAGAACTGATACGCACTAACCATAGGCACTGCGTTTTCTGAAACCTCTGAACACTGAAATACTGTGAATCTCCACATGTTTTCCCTTTACTCAAAACGTTCTCAATTGGAGAAGTGTATTTCTCGAGCACTTCACAACACACTGTGGTGTCTCAACAGCCGTAATATCTGAGCTATTAGTTATTACACCAGTTGACAACCGAGGCAATGGCTGCGCAGCAGTATAACTTCAATGCCAGCTTTTCTTCGGAATCTCTGCTCACGATCTACGCTGGAAGCGCGCCACATGCTAATAATTTCACGAGTCATCTACGAGGAATAACCCAAAACTGATGTCTGATCGCGTACCATGTAAGAAATTCACTTACTTAAGCTCCACCAGAAGCTAGGCACAACGGAACATTGTAACCAAACTTTGTGAATGACGTGTGTGGAGTCGCAGCTCCGATTGGGGGTTCAAACCTCACCGCTGTACGCCGCCCCTGCTTTCCTCGCCCCGCTGGTAAAAGACGTGAAATGGAAAGGGACCCTTTATGCATTCCTGGCTCTTCCAAGTGTAACTGCTTTGACATAACTGGGCAAAGGTCTTTCCAGAATAGGAGGGAACTAGTGAACAAACGAAACAACAGTTCGATTATTCTCAGTAATCTGTATTATTTGATGCCTATATATAATGCGGGCAATCCGAGCACGCCAGGCCTTGGAAAGCGGAACGGGTATTGTCACGAGCATGTAGTACAAAATGGTACCGACCGCCGCGCCGGGCTGCGCTGCCGGACCCGCCTGCCATACGCCGTCTCCTTCGTCGTCTAGCTGTCCCCTGACGTGGGCGGGGGCGGCGGCGGCGGCTGGTTGCCGCCCATCTGCTGCCTGAGCTGCTCGATCAGCTCCGGGTTGGAGGCTCGCATCTGCTCGGCTAGCCGCTGACCTCTGCCGAAGCACAGTGGTAGCGATACGTCAGAGCGGAGAGGATAATACACGAACAGCGATGCTACTAAAATAGTAACCCCTACACTTTCGACTATAAAAACACACATTCAGGAAATTGAAACTATTTACACTTTGAGTGTTTTGCTGAGAAGTTCCTTTTCAGTTATCACTGTCATCCACCCAAGAAAAAGGAAGGCACGTTCCGCTAGGCTGAGCTCCATCGGGCCTAAAACGACTGCTGCCACCTACCGAGAACCATCAGAGAATCCAACCGAGCTCAAACCATACGCTAGTCGGCTCAGCCAGTAACTACAATAGGTAGCTTACTTATTTATCGTATCACAAACAATCAACCCGACACCCGAATACAGTAAACGCATTTAGAGGCATACATTGCGAGTTCCTTTGCAACAGATCGTGCCCATTATAATCGGCAAGTTACTGTCCCATACCCTCGTTGGTACTCACGCCTGTAGGAGTGCCTCGAAGCCGCCGGCGCCTCCAGCCCCTCCTGCCCCCGCTCCGGCCCCGGGCGGTACGCCGGCTCCGGGCGGCCCTCCGGCCCCACCGCCCATCAAGTTGTTCATCATCTGCTGCATGTTGGGGTCCTGCATCATCTGCGCGGCCACGTTCATCATGGCCGGGTTGTTCAGCATGGCCTCCAGGTTGAGTCCGCCCATGTTGGCAATGTTACCGAACCCACCGGGCAGGCCGCCCAGGCCCGGCGCGCCGCCGGCCGCTGCCGGCAGACGACACAGCAGCGTTAGAGCAGAGCGAAACAGGGAAAACATAAGTTGTGCAACACTTTGACATCATGGGGGACAAACTGTGCTGTTGAATTTATGGAATTCACGCAGACTACAACATTTTCGGTCCTTTTAGGGTATTCCGAGTGTCACCAAACACCCATCCTTGATCCACGATCCACCCCAGACAGGGTCACATCCATGACCTCTATCAGTTCCCAGCCCACCTGTTATCGTGTCGCCCATCCGCGCCTCGATCACCCGCAGGTTATTCTGATAGCTCTCATTGGTCGGGTCCAGCTCCAGAGCCTTCTTAATCTGCGCCTTGGCCTCATCGAACCGGTTCAAACCAGCATACGCCAGCCTGCCGATGGGGTACAAGTCAGAGGGGTGCCAAACACAGCGTGGGTCATTCAGCTGGGAAGGCCGCCTTAGGCATACGCTGACAATTCTAGGATACAGCGAACGCATTTAACACAAAACTGGGGACAGACTCAAGACATCTAACCTGGCAAACGGCTAGCCTAGCATCTGCCGACCGTTTCATAATTCATTTTTCACTATCAACCAAAACGTCTAGCGACATGCCATATCAGCAACGGCCGCCTCCTGAGTCATTCCACACCCCACGTCCGTTTATCCCGTTCCAAGTTATTATCAACGGTCATCCACCAACACGTCCCTACCCCTTCCGTCCAACGGTAATCTACCAGCACATCCCTACCCTTCCGTCCGTTCGCCAATAATCACAACTGTCCCTTACGATATCAAGAGCGGTTATCTCCAAACCCCTTGACAAACTACAATACCTCACCACATCCCACCCGCGACTACTCACGCCAGCCGGCTGTAGGCCTTTGTGTAGGTGGGGTCGATCTGCAGCGCGCGCTGGGCGTCCTCCACGGCCGCCAGGTAGTTACCCAGCTTGGTGTACGCCGCTGCCCGGTTGCTGAAGTACGCTGCGTTGTTACCGTCGTGCTCGATCGCCTGGGAAGGATGGAGTTTAAGGTGTCGCTGATGTTGAGGTAACTGTAACTCATATAGAATCCTGTGAATGAGCATGTAAAACGACCAACTGCAAATAAAAATACATGATGGGCAGAACGATTAGACAGCCAGCCTCAGAGGACTATCAGACCGACCCAACAGGTAACAACACCAGACCACAGTTTTGAGTTCTCCACCAGACCACCCACCAGGCCACCGACCAGTGTATTACCAGACCAACGACTAGACCACCGACCTGTGTGTACTTGTCGACCGCCTCGTGCAGACGCTCCTCCCGGACGGCGATATTACCCTCGTTCTTCAGCGCCTCGGCACGCTCTTTCTGTTCGGGGGTGGCCTCCGGAGCGCGCGGGGCGGGCTCCGGCGCCGGGGCAGCCGCCGTGATACCGGCAGCTGACGCCTGAGACAAGCGCAAGTAGCGGAGTGTTAGTGTCAAATGAAGGACAACCAGCGATGACTTCCAACTTCGCTATAACGAGTGAAACTAAAATATACCATTTTATATTTCCTCCGGGCTATCACAAAGCACCCTCACCAACCATCCGACGCTGTGACTTATCACTCCACCCTGACCCGTCGTTAAATGACCTCACTCACCATCCTTACACAATGACCTCATTCACCTACGGCGTTCAAATACCTCACTTCCGGCAGCGCACCATTCGAAGGCTCGACGCCCCGGCCGACTCACAATCCGGCGCCTCAACCCACCGTTCGACATATTCGCCCATTACAGATCCGCGGCCCACCGTCCGACGCCCGGTCAACCCACCGTCTGTTTGAGCCCATCTGCGAAGATCTGCGGCAGCGTCTTGTCGACGCTCAGGTGTGTGTCATTGGCGCTGAGGCCGAACGACGTCTCCAGACACTGAACGGCCACCTCCAGACTCTCCTGGGGAACGGCAGGGGGCACACAGAGGTCAGCCCAGGTCGGGTCAGGTCAAGTCAAGGCTAGGTTGGGTCAGGCTAGGTCTTGTAAGGCCAGCTTGGGTAAGGTCAGGTCGGGCCAGGCTGGGTTGAGCCCAAGTGCGGAAGTGAGCAATGAGCATACGGCATCCCATAAAGCGGTCGGTGAAAACAGGAACAGGAGTGTAATCACAGGCTCTAACTGCAGACTCAAAAACCCACTCAGCAGCGTTCCCTTTGTAAACAGAATGAATGGATCCGACCATCCCTTTCTCAGAATTGCACGTATATCTCGCAGCAGACTGCTTCACTGCTGTCATACATAGCAAACATCTTCCGTATCCGGAGTAAGCGACCAGCTCCCGGCGAAAGCGGGGACGGTAAAGATCGCCTCTCATCTGCCTCTCCATTCTCCGACCGGTACATTCTACCATCGTCAGTCCCCGTCACTCCGTCACCGAGTAGAAAGCGGTGGCGCAATTTTCCCCCATTGTTATGCGAACTTGTGAACATGGATTCCAAGCACAACTGTACCGGTTTGTTTTTGTTAGACCCAGTTAGACCATGCCAGACACATCCATGGGCATGGAGAGGTTTTTGTAACTGTTTAACTGTAGATTCGATTTTACATCCTGGAAACAAGGTGCTAATCGGAATTCTCACGGGCCAAGGCTTCACGAGGCAGGGGGTATCGAGACGACTCAAAAAGCGCGAAAAGTTGCCTTCACTATCTTTTCAATGTGCCGAAAGTGTAAAGTGCTGATATAAAGCAAGCGGACTGCGGAAAACGTACAAGCCCCGAGCACAGCCGTTGCCTAGCACCAACATTCACTGCTCCCCTGGGAAAGTCTCTCCCACTCGGGGAGGCCACACCGGCGAAACCTTCGGGACGCGCCGGCTCGCGGCGAAACCAGCTCCGGGGCACGTGGCTGGGCGCGCGCGGCGCCGGTAGGTCGCCACGAAACGGCCCCACAACACGAGAGAGCGAGAGTGCATCTGCTGAGCGTGGGCGAAGGGTGAGCGGCGCGGCACGGCGCAGTGCGGGCCAGGTAACGGTGAACGGTGCGCCGCGCAGTCAGCGCGCGGAGCTCGGGCAGTGGACGGTGCGCGAGCAGGCGTCATGACAGCGGTAGTGGTGCTATGGGTGGCGGCGATGGCCATTGGTTGGACGGTGGACGCACAGCCAGGTAGGCGGGCCGAGGGGATGCTGGGTGACCTTACTGACCCAGTAGCACCAACAGTCACCAATTCGATACCATGAACAATGAGGGCTCGTAGATAACCGACACCAAGGCCATAACCACTGGCGCGGCTGATGACTAGCTATGGAAGCGTCGTGAGTTCCTGTCCGCCCACAATGCGTAGACAAATACGTTTATATCCCTTTATCAGGTTTATAGACCTTTATCAGCAACACAAAAAGCTATGGAATCGTACGCACTTACTGCACTGCAGGTACTGCAGGTCTTAATCGATTGATTGCCGGAACGCTGTCTCACTACTGCCAATACTGACGGCGCATTGTCATTTTAACGTCACCGCGCACCGCACATCCCCATGGAGAGAGCACCATGACGTGGATTGTGTGCACACATGGCAGACTTTCTAACGTGACTCGCATCGTATCCAAGATCGTGAGAACGACAGTGACCTCAAAGGATAAATAGCATAACTCATAAGTAATATCAAATGTGAAAACACACTGCAAGAAACGCGACCAAACTCTCGTTTGACGCGACCCGATGCCATGAAGTCAATGAAATAACGTCAGAAGCGAAAACCTCATTATGTGTCAAAGGTAAATGTAGGGGAATCTTACGATGTTGTTCATGCTCAACAATAGATACCAACCTACAAAACGGCAAACGTATGGCACCGCAGTATCTGTGCTGTCTGAATTTGATCTATCGTTCCATAAAATACCGTGTCGTGCCGGCGGCGCAAATGAAAGCGACCGGCGTGACCCCGGCATTCCCATCACCCATATCTACATAAATCAGCGAAGGAGACACTAGACAACAGTCATAATCCACACAACCATTACTGAATATTACTGGTGCTCAGTCAATAGCTTTCCTTCCTCAGAAAACGGACAGTAGGCCATCGATTTTTACAGACTCTTATGACAGCCATCAACCAAAAATTTATGTTGCGGTCCATCCCTTTCAGCATGCTATGCTTACGATAAAGATAGTAAGCAAACTCTAATTTCTAGATGCGCCGTGCATGCTGCAATGGATGCTTTCGGCCAGAAGCACTGAAGCGCGTCAGCTGCAGATTCCAATAGACTTTCTATTCTTTCTACCGGGAGAAGCTGAGCCATGCCAATCAGAACACCCTGGAAGATGGCGCACTTTCGCTTTCATGCACCACCACAATTTCACGATAGTTTTGTGAGCATTCCACAGACCTCTTTCGCACTCCCCGATACACACCCAAGAGTAACGGAGAGCAGTTATGTTACTGACCGAGTTATGTCCATTGATGACTGACCCTGCCACCCCTGACCACGTCTCCCCCGACCCGGATTACGACCCCCTCGCCGTTCTGACCCCACTCACCGGCCACTCGTCCACCCTCTTCTGTCAACTGCCCGTAATACATTTTGCCCCCATTTACATGTTCTCATCCCGTCTGCTCCTAGCAGCTGCACCGCCTACCAGGCCCTGAAACCCTTCTCCCCATCTCACTCCCAAACAAAATATGACCTCAACTACCCAGCACCTCTGACATGACCTTAAGTGACCTAGCCTCTCTCTTTACAGCCGCACCACACACGGACAGCCTTACAGGCGTGGCCGGCGAGGCGACGGTGCTGCCATGCGGCGGCGACCCGCTGCGAGCCGACCCGGCCGCGGTCACCTGGCACCGCCGGCCGCAAGGTGGCAGCACCGTGCCGGCCGTCGGCGCCGGGTTCCAACTACGGGGCGACGGCAGCCTGTGGCTGGCCCGCCTGGAGCCCGACCACGAGGGCAGGTTCACCTGTACAGACGCCACGACAGACCGGTTGATCGCGGTGTATGACCTAAAGGTGAGCAGGAGGCAGACGGGGCATACGTTGGAAAATGGCTAAACGAAACTGCTGCCGAGTTCAGAATCTCATTCTTCTTTGACGGAATAATTGAAGTGGCTTCAAAAAGATAAGCCTCATCTCACTGTCTCGTCATGTAACAAAACACAAATGACTCAAAGATAGACGGGACACAACTTAAAGCAGCCGCAAACGTTTTTCGGCACGACCTTACACAAACGCTTGAAGTAAGAGGCCACAAAACTGAATGCCGTCTCTCATCTCTGTCCACCAGGTCCGCAAGCCCAGCGTCATCCGTATCGAGTCGAGCGCCGAGTCGGGCCCGCTCTCCGAGGGTGACACGTTCCGTCTCACGTGCCGCGTGCTGACCGACAGCGCCTCTCACGCGGCCACCATGCTCGTGTGGCGCGACGACACGCTCGTGGCGCCCGACGACCCGCGCGTCACGCTCCGCACGCAGCGCACGCGTAACGTCTGGCAACTGAGCATTGCCAACGTGACGCGCGCCGACGCCGGCAGGTAAGCAGTGTGTCGGTAGGAAGGGCACGGCTGTCCCAATACAAATGTATGGGGCGTGTCAAGCCACTGTCACTCATTCAGTAAAGCACTCCTGCTCGTATAAAGCCCAGGAGGTCCAGCTCTCCTCTAGTCGGTTTATAGTTCAATACAACCTGTATTTCTGTCGCGAAACGTAGCCACCAGGTTCTTGTGTATTTGTATCTCTTACAATCACTGCTTACTCTTGCATTTCTCTTCCCAGCTACATCTGCCGAGCCAAAACCTACTTCGACCGCGCCGAGGCCTCAGCGCAGCTGATGGTGGCGCCGCGCGTGGCCGCCGACTGTACTAGCAGTTCGGCAGAGCTGCGCTGGAGCGCCGACGCGCCGTCGCCGGGCGGGTTCATCGTGCGTATGACGGTGGGCGGAGCGGTGGCAGACGAGGCGCTCGTCCCGGCCGATATGCGCTCTGTGGACGTGTCCGACCTGGAGCCCGGCTCGCGAGTGCGCTTCGAGGTGAAACCTGCCGAGGAGGGAGCCGTCGAGGGCACGGCCTCGTGTTTCGTGCCGCCGGAAACGGCCGAGGCGCCGCCAGAGAACGACACGTAGACGACCGAGGTGGCGCCGCCGCGGCGCTGGCTCATTGTTGACCTTTGTTGCTAGATGTATAAGGTTGGTGAAAGGTTGTGTTGCTGTTTGTTATTTGTTGTTGATTAGATGAATTGACAAAACCCAAACGTTGTCAGTTATGGCATGTGTGAAGCTAGCTGCTAGAACACTGAAGCTTAGAAATATGAATAAATGGTGGATTTATTTAATATTTTTATGATTAAGAGGCTTGCATCCAATTAATAGGTACATTCCTTAAATCCAGGCATATAGGCCAGGTAAGCAGAGGCTGCCACTCTAATGTCTATAAGGTATGGCAGACAAGCATTCATAAAAGATAAATACCTTATGAATGCTTGCAAAGATCATTCATTCTTTGTCAACTCAACCAACTTCTAGAAACCACTTCCTGAATGACAACTATTTCATAGAAAATGAAGGGCAGCAGTAGCACAAAGGCTGCATTTCCCTGAGGTATATAATAGATAATGTTAGACTGTTTCAAGCAGATACAACTAAAAATTGTGGAGTAAAAGTCAGCTTAATAGCACAAGCAAGACCAACACAGTTACACCTTACAAGAGCTCCATAATTTGGATGATATATACCTCAAGATTGCAGACCCATGGAAGGTTTAGATGCCAAATAACAAGGGTAAATCTTCGTTCTACACTTTCCAGCTCCCTGTCAATTATTTTCAGATGTCTGGGCCAAGAGCCAAACAGGTATAATCTGTAGATAGGAAGGTAGGTAACCACATTGTTGCCCATCCTCAAAACTTCAACAGAAGTATCTCTAAGCAGGCCAATTCCAACATGGGGCCTGTTCCAGCGCCTCCAGTAGAAATTCTTGACTGGAGGCTCTACCAGAGGTTTTACTGGAGGCGCTGGAACGCAATCTGGAAATTTCTGGAGATCGGTGTCATAGATACCAAAAGAATGACAATTGTTCTATCTTGAAACGCAAAATTTGTTTTCAATTTTAGTAAAAAAGATTAACAGAACTATAGCAATGTAATTTTCTTTACATTCAAGTTGTAAAATTCTCAGTCAAAAGTTCTTTGTTTACATTCGTGATTGTCACATGTGCGCCATAATTGTAGACCAGAGCCTCCAGAGAAATTTGGACCTCCCAACTCTCTGGAGGCTACTGGAGGTCAGTGGGGGAAACTGTGGTCAAATCTTCTATTTTTGGAAGCCTTCCATTTTTGGAAGGACCTTCCATAAATGGGTATGCATTTTCCAAAAATGGAAGGCTTCCAAAATTGGAAGGTCTAATCTCAGTGTTCCCAACTGTGATTCACATTCTTTGATTTAAGTTACGGCCTTTTTAAATGTGTAACATTAATAGTTGATTTTGCCATTTATGATCATTGATATAAGGAGAAGCAGCAGTGCTAGTGTTGGTAATACAGGCATGCTATGTCAATGTACATAGTGATATAATAGCATGGTGTCCTGGCGCACTGCTCTCTTTTTCTACTTCTAGAGGACACATAGAAATTCAGAAGAGAAAACAGCTGGTCAATAACCAACCAGGAGGAACACAGCTATAGCCCTGACAAAAAATGGTTTAAATTAAACTTACTATTCCTCATATAAATTGAAGATTCATGCTCCTTCGATAGAAAGTAACACGAAAAACGGCGCAGCAACGCCTATTTAATTCGTCCCATATTCCGGAAAAAACATTGAAAAATGACGAGACCTCCACCCAAATGTTTGGCAAAAGCCTTAAAAAATTGAAATCAACCACACAATATGCTAATAAATGCAGAAAACGGCAACAAATACAAGTTTTACTCGCCACTACACTCCCGAAACCGCCGCACTCTGTCCAGACAATTCCGCACTGTAAATAAAGTCGGCGGTATCGAACAAGCATGGCCCGTCACTAAAGTACTTTTAAGGATATTTACTTTTCGTTTTTGATGCTTTTTGCTTACAAAATGTTTGATAAAGTCTTATAAAACCATCGTTTGTCGGTAAATTTTTGTCAATTTTCCACGACTCATTACTTTGAAAAATTACCTAAAATACATCCACGCTAGGATTTAGGCATCCACGCTAGATTATGGACACTTCACTATGGCGAATAGAAAGCGACCAGGGGCGATAGTCGCATTTGCCTCATGTTCGGCGGAAATCGGTAAGTTCCAACATATGCGCAACATTTTCTATATTTGGGTACGATGACGTCGTCAGCGTACCCATTTTTGGAAGGTGCGTACCCATATATAGAAAATCCTTCCAAAAATGGAATGCTTTCTAAAAATGGAAGATTTGACCACAGTTTCCCCGACTGAGGTTTCTGGAGCTTTGGCGAGAGCTTTCTGGAGCTTTCTGGAGGCGTTGGAACGCTCTCTGGAGGATTCTAGAGCTTTCTGGAGGTTTCTGGAGGCGCTGGAACAGGCCCATGGTGAGCCCAGCCCAAAGCATTAAAATAAGGTCACAGCCACCTTTGCAATTGAGTTACAGGAAGAAAGACACCATAATAAATACCATTTTATGGTACAATACAAAGCGATTTAAAATGTTAGCTATTTCAACAACATGAGTACCTAACTCAAATTACAAGTGCTGGAAAAATAATGATAAGAAACCAAACTTACCTGACTGTCTTGTGACAAACTGCCATCATGAAGCTGGGCGTTCAAGAATTGAATAATTGAATAGACTATTTTCTTAGTATCAGACATCACAGCAGCCAATTCCAACTCAACCCTAGAGGATTAAATTCCACACAGAAAGTCGAAGTTGAAGTGTTTCTGAGCAGGGGGCACACTTGCACTGGCCCTCCTCTAGTATTATTTCTAAGGCTTCACTTATCAGAACGATCAGAACCTGATGACTCGACTTCAGTAGGTAGCGCAGCGTTACCGCTGGCGTCTCGCTGGTTTCCCCAGATTCTCACGAAATTTTCCCTATTTTAAAAATCATTTCCCTAGATACGGTTATTTTCATGGAATTTGACGTACTTCTCATTCTAACCATTCGTGTTATAGTCGCTGCGTCCCAAAACAGCAATTTACCACAGTGTATATAAATACAGTGTCGGCAAATGAGCCTGGTCACGTGACCGGCGGACTCGCTGTTTTTCGAGGGATCCGCACGTGCGGTTGTGGCGGGGGCACCTCCCGGTAACTGTGGTGCCGACTCGCTCTCGGCCCCCATAGGGATACAATGGGACCTACTTTTTGATTAGCTCTCCTGACTAAACTAGGACGAATTTTTCAAAGATACAACTAGCACCACATGCAGTCGTGTGTAAGCTTTCTAACGGTACCAAAAATATATTTTTATCGGCAAAATTGAATAAGTACAGGCCCATTTTAGGTTCGATTCGCGCTTATGACGGAAGAGAAGCCACCACTAATTATAAATACAACGAACAAGTGTTGAAAACCGGAGTATAAATGCAGTTTTGAATTACATTAAAGCCATTTTCAGTCACTGCAACCGATGAGTGGAAGTGATCGGTGTATTAGGTCACCCGTTACCGTTAGGTATTACTTTTTAACTACCTACCAACAACACCCATAGGTATTGTTCTGATCTATTCCAGACAACAAACTAAGGTTTTGTGTTGAACTGTGCCAGAAAGAGCAGTTAGATCAAATATGGATACGAAGGTAAATAGGACTATACGAGCATCCATGTTGATACGTTTATGCTGGAGCTAGTAGTTGATAGGTGTTCCGTTCTATTGATGCGGGCAAACAACGAATCGGGGTTGTCATGGGCGAATCTGTAGGTATAATTGTGTCTTGTATGAAACATGCACGGTATCTGCAAATACTAGAATGCTGCTGCTAAGCTGAAAGAAGGCTCAGCCGGACTTTTATACTATGAACCGGCCATGTTTAGTTTATGCCGGGCTCGAGGGTGCAGTGTTCGTCACGGGCCAGCCAACCCACAGAACACAGCCCATCCCAAGCGGGGCCCATGGGCGCCGAACCCAGCCCAGCTCAGGCCCATTGAATTTCACACGCTTTTGAGGCTTTTATGGCGGTCGCCGGAATAGGCAAATGGTAGATCAACTCTTCAAAAATTGTTTCAATATCTACTTCGCTGGGAGGAAATGAGCTTTGATTGTCAAAAAATGCAAAACTTTGCATTTGTTACAGGCACAACATCCGAAATGCAACATGTGCTTACAGTTGTACGCCCGTCCTTAACATGGTTGTCATGAAAGTTGGGGGAGGGGGGAGGCGGCCGCACGTTGAGGGGTCACAGTCCGGTATTTTGACGCCCCCCCCCCCCCTTTACCGCCTGAACGGGAACCTTCACTCCATCCCGTCCTCTGTATTAACCGCCTTTAAGCCCGCCCGATGACCCTGCCGTTTTCAAAGCCAACCTGAGCTGAGCAAGATAATTCGGTGTAAACGTCGACAACTGCAGTGAGTTGTGTGCAGTCCCGGTGTTCCGCTACAACATTATTGCACCTCTCGTTTTCGCCATCATCGACGCCGTGCACTTCCGAAACATGGATGCTCCGGGACAGTTTGAAACAAGTAGATGTCCTACACGGACGCTTTGCACATCCAGTGTCTATACATATTTCCATATTTCAAACAAATCGAGCAGAAAATATTATAACGAAACAGCGGCGTACAGCGTACAGCGTGCAGCGGGGATATCTGAACAATGCACCATACATGACGAAGAGCCAGCAGACCCTGGTGCAGCTCAAGACGGCGGTCGTTGATACCACTCTTGTGCCTGCGCCCAATGCGCGCCAACGTTGGCGGGGGGGGGGGGGGGGGAGCAGTGAGTCATTCAATACGTTGAGCTACTTTGAACATGTTCCATAGCGGCCTGACAGTAGCAAATGTGTGTTGGCTAGCTGCGCAACTGAGTAAATTTTCACACAATTTTACTTCCTTTGATTTGCAAATCCTTTTATCTGGTAAACATGCTTTAATTAAGTAGAATGATAATGAAGTGATTCAGTTTTTGGAAACGTTTCAGAACAAAACATATTAAAACAATGTCTCATACGTATTATCAGAATAACAACAAAGACCGCCGGCCATCGGTCATGAACACCGTTCACCTGTCACTATCACTGCCAGTGGAAACGCACACACACACGCGCGCACACGGACACACACGTCAGCCGCAGTCAGTTACAGGTAAGTTCCCAGAGGCCTCTCCGACGGCGGCCGGCCGGCTCCCAGAGGCTGCTCCGACAGCGGCTGGCCGTGGCTCCCAGGGACTGCTCCGACGGCGCGGCGGCTGTCGCTACCAGGGGCTGCTCCGACGGCGCCTGGCGCGCCGCTCGCAGATCCTCCTTGGAGTTCTAGCGCGCTGATGGTGGCTGTGTGATCCGCTTTCCCTTTCTGAGCTTGGTGTAGCACAGGCGACCTGCAACCACATCACAAAAACTGAGTTTGTGAATTTGAATCAACTTTGAACTGAACCACAACTATTATGTTTTTTTATGAAGATTTACCAAACCAACAATTTCAACTTCCACACTGCGCTGACAGGTATACACATAATACACAAATAAAGGCTAAAACCGTTTTTCCACTTCTTCCACTTGTCATCAATACATTTTGCCCAAGATATGAGTGTGCAACAAGTAATACATATGACTAGCCTGCTGCATCGCTTTGATGGCTTCGTGCAAAATGTAAACCTAAAAATTTCGCTCTTTCTGATTTATGGCACATCACTTTTATGCCAATTTATTAACTTTTTGGAAGGTGGCATTGTCCCTTTAACACAGGCAAGCCCTTGCCGAGCCCGGCATATGCCCGGCCTCCTCGAGCTTAGGCCCGGCAAAAGTCCGGCGGGTCCGATTTTAAGCCCGACACCGGGGCCCTGTTTCACCGGTGATAGCAGCACGATGCTTTTACACGTGTCAAATTGGGTTTCCATGGAGACATGAACAGGCCCATTGCTCCAACACTACCACAAGTGTGACGTCAGCTCGCGCAATTTGATAGCAGCGTGGTAGCAGCGTCCCGTGAAACACCGCCCGGGCCCGTAGGCTCAAGACTTGCATCATTACTATGCATATACTGGTATGGTAAGCAACCTGGCATATGAGTTGGACTCAAACAATGAAGTTAAGTGGCTAGTGCTTACCGGAAATGAGCAATCTGGTACCCGATGTCCCGTTGTACTGGAAGAGTGTTGGGATGCAGCTGCCCTCCTCAAAATGACAGGAACAGAGCTGGGAAGTGCTCCTGGGAACTGCATCTGCACGTCTGTAAATGACAGATGCAACAAATGTAACAACTGGCATACTGTTCTTGCACGTGGACTTTTACATACAAAATGCCTTGTGTTTAGAGGTAAGATATTGACTCAGACAGCACAGCCACAGCTTCTAAACAAGATGGTATCACTGACACTGTATCATGTTATTTTGGCTCCAGAATCCAGAATCAGAAGGTTGACATCCTCACCTAGCAATCAAAATGTAGTTAATTGGCTTTATATCAATGTGAGGTGCTAAGAGTGAACAATTATGATTATTTACAATGCTTCAGAACATGGTCAAACCTTAACTAACCCAACCTACAGTGGTTCGCTAGCAACATTCGTAGCACGTCTTTTTTGTACATAGTAACTGGAATATATGCTAGGTAAGAGTACCTACATCTTTTCTTTTTTTTTGTTAAAGAGGTATGCATTTGGCCTGTAGCCTATAACACACCTCTTCAACCAAAAATATTTTCCTTACCCATCCCAACACATCCCTTAGAGCTGCCTGCGGCATTACACTCAACGGATTACCAGGTCAAAGCATTACCTTCATTAGGTAACTTGTGGTAAACATGATAAGCTTTTAATGGATTTCATGTTCTCTTTCCTGTAATTAGTTTTATGCAATGGATTTGATTTGTTATGCTCATTATGATCAGCACAAAAATAAAACCTTTATATAAATAATATTTTCTGTATTTTAATAAAAGAAGAACTATATTTGGTAGTAGTAAAGCAGGCGTCACACTTCTTTTTGCAACCAAGGAGAGGTGCTGTAGGTTAGGTTGTAGGTTCTAAGTTGTAGGTACCTAGGTTGTAGAGTTTAGGTTGTAGGTATGGCTAGGTCAGGTTTAGTTAGGTTTGTTTTGGCTTGGTTCAATTAGAAAGCATCTCTGGGTATAGCACCTCTCCTTCATTGCTAAAAGTAGTGTGACGCCTGCTTTACAACTACCCAATATTCTATAGAAAATATTGTTTGACGCGGAAGCTTGCATTGATTAATCATGTTGTAAAATTCAAACCCATTGGCGCATTGGTATGCGCATTGGTATTGGTATTGGCATTGGTTTTTTCTGGGCAGCATGCCAATGCTGATTAGCTGACGATGACATGGCTGCATTCCTCAGCAAATTCCTCAAGAAGGCACTTTTCAGGACGAGAAATGGAATCTTTGCCTATGGTGATCATTGGGCTGTAAAAGCTCCTGGTTTGTGCTTGTCATTACATAACATTTATTACATTTATCATTACTACATAATGTATTGCATTTATCAATACAGCTAACAAGGACACATCTGGATCTTACCAAGGACACATCTGGATCTTACCTGACAGCCCTCACCCAAGCGACCCTCATCTTCTCCTCTCTTGGAAACCTCCTAAATGTACCTACATCTTGCAGCAACACAAAACTGAATCAGAGTAAGAGCTCTGCAATCTGCAATAAAATACTAGGCAGGTCACAGCAAAATACAAGAGAAAAGATTGAAAATCTGATACAAGCTTAAAATTGTATAAGATTTGGAGCAAGCAGTTTGTTGACGCCATCAAATGTATCAACCGCGCAGTATTTGTCATCAAATTTTGGTGCCGAGTCAAGGTCAAATGTCACGTGACATTTGGCCGACAGTTGCAATTTACTACATTCTGTGACGTTAACGTAAAAGATTCTAATGAAATTGCTGGCATATAGCAAATTACTGTACGTGGTATAATATAATTGAGTGGTATATCGCAAATTGTGGTGTGTAGCGACTCGAGACGCGGGAAACTACCGTATGGGTAGCGGTAGTGCTGGCGTAAGAGACGAGTCGATGCATTATTTTGCACCGTCAGTTTAACCGTAAGGAAGTGATATGCGCTAGACATTGTAAAATCACGCCAAAACAAAAACTTTGATGTAAAAAAATTAGCCGCGCCCGAAATGGTACAAAGCAGCAGTTCGTTTTGAAATAATAGCAAGAATTATATATAACTACATGCATACATCAGCTGCCGGACATTGGTCACGTGACCACATTTTCCGTTTGACCTTGAGTTGGCACCAGATTTTGTCGACAGATGTGGCGCAGCTTATTTTACTGCATTATTTTAGATACTAAATATTTTGATGTGTGGTGGTAAATGATACTGTGCAAATAATTTTGAATCATCGGTGACATAGTTACCATTGAAACTTGAATAGCATCAATAAAATACAATTAAACTATTATTACTCTTCCATTGATTTTATTGTGTTTGCAGGCATAGGTAGAAACTGAAGAGCTGAGCCTGCAGCTTACAGTTGTTCTATACAGTAGCGGTGGCATACCTTCAATTAAATCGGAGCACTGCCGACTTTCGGTCCGATTCTTTCCATGCAACGACCATAGGGCTAATGTTAAAATGCCAAAGTTAAAAGGGGCACGGTGCCCCGGTGCCCTCCGGCCTCCCCGTCCCGCTGCCTATGATTCTATAACTCCTAATGCATAAATCAAGGCTACTGAGGGCTGCAAATTTGTCTTAAATAACTTATCTTTAATAACTTATAACCTACCTTCATCTACCAGTATCTGTAAGAATCTTGCATCAATCATCACCAGACTTCTTAGTTTTTTACATACCTACGCCCCGGCCGCGAGAGTTGGCGGGTACGACTCCCTCGCCGGCCTCGCCCTAATTGAGCTAGCCTCGCGGGAAAAACAAACATGTATGCCGTTATACGGGACCGGGGACGCAGCGATTGATGCACGGTTTAAAAGTATCAGGTCAACTGCTGGCCTCTGAGGGTCAGGTCAAGTACCCCGAGGGGCAAACTACGATTTCGGGTTTTGAGAAATAACTTTGCCAAAAAACGGCGCAGAGTCGCGATTTTAGTACCATCATGTTTGTCATGCTCTGGTGCGTCAAATGGTACACTTTTGTTTGGGTGGGGTCAACATAAGGTTTCACATCGGGTCAAAGTCGGGTCAAAGGCACTCAGGTCACGAAGTTGGTCGGAGGAGTATATCATTCGATTCGGTAGGTCTTCCCGAGTCTATTGTCGACTTTTCCGACTTGCCAGTTCAATTTTATCAGGAGTTATTTACAAAAAAAAAACTTGTGACCTTTGTGACGTCATAAATGACGTCACGCTAGGTTAAAGATGCAAAAGTGAAGCATTGGACATTGCAAGAATTGCATGAAATTGCGATTCCATGTGCTTGAGCAAGGTTTAGATCATTCTCGGCGTCAAAATTACAGTTTCCATATTTTCCCCATTGACTTGTAATGGTGACGTCACGCGATCGGCCTGACCTCATGTGACCTCTAGGAGAAATCCGAGATATACAAGTTTTGAGACTTCTAGAGGATACTAGGTCCTGCAAATATCATCTCGCTGTGACAGCTCCTCTGGCACCGAGGGCTTTGTGAAGTTTCGGTATTTTGGGACTATTGCAGAGGTTCACGTGTGACGGTGTGACGTCATAAGTCAGTGATCTGACCTGACACGGAAATGCAATTGGTTTCCAAAGATGCGTATGGAAGCCAAGATAGGGTGTGCCAAATAGCAGCCGTCTAGCTGTAAGGTGTTTTGAGCTATCGCCAAAAGTCGTGAGTGGAGCGCTACTGACTCCTCCGGTCGGCCGACGGGGGTTAGGAGGCGTGCAGGGTATCGGAAAACCACCTGGTACTTAGCGAATTTTGCCGATAAAAATACGTTTCTTATGCCAACTTATAGCCAAAAGACTGCTGAATCTCAAACCAGTCGTATCCTTGCACTAAATGGCTTGGTTTAGACACGATAGGTCTGAAAAGAAAAGGTCCCATGTATTCTCTATGGGCGCCGCAAGGCCGTTGGCACCAGAGTTTCGGGAAGTGCCCTCGCCACAACCGCACGTGCAGATTTGGTCACGTGACCAAGCGCATTTGCCGCCACTGTATTTATATACACTGTGGCATACATATCACATATGAAATTCCCTTTATATCTTTAAAACAAGAGCATCAAGCCTTAATTTTGTGAAAAATGTTCTCATATTTTTTTGATATGGCATGCGGAAGAATAATTTATGACAATTATGATTTCGATTGTTGAAAAAAACAACAATTTTTCGGGTTTGTGGCATTTCCCTAGATTTCGTGTGAAATCCATATATCCCTAGATCTTCGCTGATTTCCATAGAAAAGGGAAATTTCCCTAGCAGCGGTAACCCTGATTTAGCTCATCAAAAGCTGCAACTTCCTCTCCCCGTCCTCCGAGTTAATCCCGAATCTTCCAAGCACAACAAATAATAGTCGGAAGAAAATTTCCTTGACCGACACGCGATCGTCACAACTCAACGTCATGCTTAGGATACGTAAGCCATAACAAAAGCAATTGCTTTTTAATGACGTCATTTTAACATTTTTTCCCACAAATTTGCTGAAATTGTCAAAATAAGTTGCTAAAAGTTTCCAAAATAAATCCATGTCTTACATATATCAAAAAACGCGCAATTCTTATTATTTTCTAAGATATTCAAGCAGGCCTGAGAAAATAATTTATACTTAAACTGAGTGTGGTTCTTCGCAAATACTTTTTTCAAAGGGTCAAATAAATGATTTTTTTTTTAAATAAATAATATAATCTTTAAAAGCCAAGTACTCATAGATATATCTGTATATCTATGCAAGTACTGCATGTTTTGTGCACATTACGTCATGAGACAATATTTTTTAACAATACAACAAAATACAACAATTGATTTTATGAATCGTTGACTATGCGCCATATATGTCATAAGTGTTTTTATATACCTATGACGGCTCTCTCTATCGCCTGGATAAAAATAGGCCCCGCCCATCCCAATCAGCTGCTGCATGACGAGTTGATGACGACAACCACTACTTACCAGCAACCAATCTAGGGATAGCGTACGTGACAGTAATGGTGCAGCGGTTGCAAAATATTACATTGTTATTCAAACGGTGTTTGCTTTGAGGATGAGGTTAGATTAGATGAAGTGTTGATGAAAGCAGGTATTTTTTTAAAATATTTTTTTGACAATTTTTTGCCCTTGTTTTACTTAATAGCTGAACCCGGGACCACCTGAAGTCTAAACCTTATTTTATATAACATGTCAATGCTGATGCTGTCTTGAAATGTGAAATTTAGACAATGGTAATAGGAATAATGAATAGCAATTTCACCAACAACATTTTAATCTCTAGGAAGTGCAATTAAAATTAAAATCACTGTCTGCCACACTGCTCCATCCTGGTCATGCAACCAACGTTCATGGGTGGTGTTTCACAGCAGAGCACGCACTGCAGTGCTCAGCACTGCAGTGCACTGCAGTGCGCTGCGTGTGTCAGAGCATTGGGTTTCCATGGCAGTGTCAACAAACTTCACTGTGATGCTAAGCTATGACAGCATCCCAGAACGCTAGCACGCTGCGGTACCAGCACCAGCAGCATGCTAGCAGTATTTGAACTCAAACCTCTGTTCTTGGTACGGTTTTTCAGAACCTCTCACTCTGTTCCATATGCGATTGATCATAAACTAAGAGATCACATGCAACGTCATTTGAGTGATGCTATGGTATGCCGTAGCTACCAGTGCACACAGTGTCTGGATGGTGAAACAGGGCCATTATTAATCACATTTGCTCTGCTTTGTTTCAGCAGAAACCTGTCTGCACATGGGAGGAGCGCAACAAAAGCCCATCAAGTTCATGCATGGCAGTGGATCTCAACAGGAGAAAACCAGAAAGAACATGGATGCTTGTAGATTGCAGTTGTACACTGCTGTTATCACCTGATGTGCGTGGCTGGCATTGCTCCTGGCAAGAACCACCTGCAAGTGATGAGATGGTGCCTCAGTCGTTGAGTGTGCTGCAGTGTGAGAGGCGCCCTGATCTCTACTTTGTGATGGGTTTCCATTGGAGGTTCAACTGAGAAGTGAGAACTGACTGTGACCATGCTTGAGCATGCCAGTGGAGCTTTACATGCTTAGGGCAGCTTTTGAACAGATGCTGACCATGGCATGTCCCATCCAGTTATCACGTGCACAGAATGGTGGGGGGAGGGCAACTCTGGGCTCTTGAGTCAGCCCTACTGCACAGGGGGTACAGATGGCAGCTTACGTTTGGTGTGTCCTGCACTGCATTATCAAGCCCAGTCTGCGCCACAGGCAATGGGTCGGGCTGCACTAATTTAAAGGCAGACTATCTTGCAAAGGAGGCTGGCATCCTCTCCCATAATGACACACCAATTGGCAATCATCGCTGCGATGATCACGAGGGTGTCTGCTTATCTAACATGGTGAGGTGGAGAGCCAGTTCAAGCTGGCCTGAGGGATGGTTTTACTTCATCTGAGGCCCCCTTTCCCCGCCTGCCAGGTCCGGTCAAACGACCGCTTCACAGTGAACGACTTGCAGTGGATGCCGTCCCACAGCGCAACGAGCGCGCCGACCAGAGGCGGCGGCCAAGAGGCGGCCGCGCTCCCCCAGTCGACGGTCCCGGTGGACGTCGGCAACGCCCACCGCGCGACCATCAGATCGGCTCGCGACAGCGCCGTCGCCGACTGACCGCATGACTGGTATCTGTTCTTGATGTGGGACCGACTGCCACCGCCGGTCGCGGAAGGGCATCGCTCATCGGCCATCGACGTCCGCCAGCTTCGCGTGGGTCACTGTTCGGGCTGCCACCAATACACCGAATCGGATGGAACCCTGTCGGCGAATGCCGGCGGTGCCCCGACATCGACTGCGCGGCGGCCAGTGCATCGCGTGCCGGGATGAGGCTGGCACCCCCGATCGGTCATTGGTCACAAACCGTGTCCCAGCTCATGACTGCATCCAGCGCAGCTCTGTGAGATGTTCTGCAGCTGCTGCAGTCTGCCGCGTGTGTTGAAAGAAGAATGAACATGAGAAAACCTCAAAACTTTATGCCTATTCGTAATTGACCAGTATTGGAATAAGTTTGGATTTTGAGAATTTGTGTCCCTGTGCTTGTGCCTGTGTGGAAAGGCATGCTTTACGGTGTACCATCTCAATGTCAAATCCCGGCTGCGCTGTGCGGATTTGTGCGGCTGCTGACAGGCCACCTGGGTGCCAACGTATGTCAATGTGCGAATCCGCGAATACGTTGTGTTTCGTCAGTCAGTATCGTTCTGAAAATATTGACTGCAATAGGCTATATAGCGTATGACGGTTCAGCCCAGCAGTAATAACTGACCATTGATTGGGCGAATTTTGTGTGGTGGTTCGCTAATACATAACCTAAAGAGTGTTTTGCCGGAATCGTTTAGTAGCAGAACTGACCGGAATATAAGTAGAATGCAACGGTTTGAATCGTTAATTTGTTGAAACGATTGTTCTCTGAGACCACTGTGTAACTTTTGACCTGAGAATCACCAATTATAACGACAATGGGGAAGCAGTAGGCTGTACTGTAGAGTGTAGGCAACACTATATAGTTGGCACATTTACGGAAGCACACGACTTACGCAGTGGACATCTGCATCATGCATGTTAAGGTTTACTGGGAAGAGTGAGAAATTAGTCAGAATATAACTGACTAAGGAAAATAGGCGATATTTCCTATTGAGCTGGGGCGGAGAGGGGGAGGGGACGTGTGGTCAGCTATGCCAATAATTCATTCTCTTTATGCAGCTGTGTAAAAGGGCGTCCGTTTTTGGGTTAGACCTTCCCCATCGGCCATTTCCAAGTTAAATCGTGGTGGAGAGTCTGGAGACCTCAGCCTCGGTAGTCGGTACCCTGCGCGCTGCGCCACCTTGCGAAACATAAAGCAGCAGTCCTGACATCTACAGGCGTGACTTTTCATGAAAGCGCGGATGTGTTCGCGCTTATGCGAAGAAAATTCTTCCGAGTATGGTTGATAATGAGATTAATTGTTGTCATTTATTTATTAATTCATTGGCAAAAGTACCCTAATAAATCGGTAAAATAGCTTGAACTGTATCGTATTTCCTTGGGAAAAAATGACGAACTCATCCTAAGACATCCAGATTATTGGATGCGTTCGTCAGTTGTAAGTAGTTCAAGTTTTTGGGAAAATTTGCTTGTGGAAAATCATAATATTTCAAAGATATGCCTATTTTCGAATAATTTATGCATTTATCTGCATTGAAAAATGATTGTAAAGCAAAAGTGCAAAAGATTATTGTCAATTTATTTTCTCAAATCACGATTTACGAACGCACAAAACTCCAGCTTTTAATTTAGTGCGTGTGCGAATTGCGGTCAAGAAAAAATATTTAAACTGTCTATATTCCTCTAAAAACAATGAAGGATGAATGAGGAAAACGCTGTTTTGAACAATTGTATATTTATTTTTTCTTAATTAAGCAAAAGTACAAAATTTTCAACTATTATTACATTTGCTCTCACAAAACCCATCACTTTTTAGCATGACGTCATGTCAGCCAAATTTACTAGCGCCATCTCTGGAGAGCATCTTTCGAAACCTCCAGACGATAGAGAGAGCCCCTATGACACGGTGGTCAAATGAAGTTTGAGTTATTTGCTTTTTTATAAATTGGAGGTGCTGCGTGAGTAGCATAGATTGGGATTCATTCAAATATTTAAACTGATCAATCCCAGGTAAGGACAACAAAAAATTGCCTGTGACAGGCACATGGGCTGAAAATGTGAATAATTGAATTAATGCGTGAAGAATCAATTCATTGACCTTTTCCTCAAAAATGTTAAAAACAATGCCAAAAATTATGATTTAATGCGGTGAGCGCTGTATCGATATCTTGCAGAGAAGTTAGATTAGCCAAGTTTTAGCCAAGATTAGCCAAGTAGCCGGTACAAGCGCAAACTAAAAAATGTTGCTGTTTTGGGTCACCATTGGATATCAAGTGCGCTGCTTATCATGGACTGATGACGATGCCGTTTTCTGGTGCCAAGCCAGCTAGAACCTCTTTGTCACACTACCCGACCAGGTTTTTGCTGCTGAGGTCATTTCAGGTCAAGTTAGGTCAAGTCAAGGTCAATGATATGTGTTTGTATGTCTGTATGTGTCTGTGTGTATACTGATGTGTGCACTGATTTTTTATGTGTCCATATTACATGAAATCATGATCTGAGAAGCTTTTGCAAAAAAATGCAGTACCGTAAAATGGGGTGTTAAGGGACGGTGGGGTGTTAAGGGACAGTTGCATGGGAAAAACTTTGAGTCATATTAACTTCCTAATTTGAGAAGGTTCAATAAAAACTTCAGTGTGGTAGTTGACACTGTTTTGCTCTTGACCATAGGAGAAAATGGTATGGTTTTTCATGCAAGTGATTTGGTTCAAAAAT